TAGCCTTGCTTTCCCAAAAGTTGTTCTCATCCAGACAGAAGTGGACTGCAGTTTCGACCTTGCATCGGTTCGACTCCCGCTAAGGGTGCTGATAAGACCGAACGAGGTCGAAACTGCAGTCAACTCCCCATTGAATGGTCAAGTCCCGCTGGGGGTGTTGATAAGACCGATGCTAGGTCGAAACTGCAGTCCACTTCAGTCCACTGTCGCTGTTCGAATCTTTCTGAGGGTGTTGATAAGACCAATTCGAGGTCGAAACTGCAGTCCACTGTCGCGGTTCGAATCCCGCTGAGGGTGTTAACTGCAGTCCACCTCGGCCGTCGCGGTTCGAATCCCGCTGAGGGTGTTGATAAGACCAATGCGAGGTCGAAACTGCAGACCACTGGTGCCTAGGGATGAGAACAACTTTTGGGAAAGCAAGGCTATGTGAAATTCAATGGAAACGTCAGCTTAACTCATATCATCGTGGCCGTCAGCTCAACTCATAGCATTGTGGGAAAATTCTTCTACCAGTCCTTCGTCAACAACTTTTGGTCGAAAAAAGCAAGGTTGAAGGAACAACTTTTGGGAAAGCAAGGCTATGTGAAATTCAATGGAAACGTCAGCTCAACTCATATCATTGTGAGAAAATTCTTCTTCTACCAGTCCTTCATCACCTTAAACAATATTGGGTGAATATATCTCATATAGATATAGTATTTATTGCAGTAACATGACCATAATTGATTTTAGCAATCCAATCAGAAGATCAAAGCAAATGACAAAGTATTGAAAGGATAAGAGTATTTTAAAGAAAAGCATGTGAATTTACATTAACAGCTCATAAACGAAGATAAATCGCTCACCTAGTTGAATATTTCGCATCCATATGGAAGGTGCACTATTCTTGAGGATACGCTCAAAATAGACCCCTGAAAATCCGCTGCATAAACAGGCTATTCCAAGAGCCGACAAACCGATAATCGTCAAATTCGCATTTTCTTCCGTAGAATTAGGTAACTAAGGTTTGTGAGTGAAAGTAATAGAGCATCGTTAACGGATGATAAGTGTAAGAAATACTTATTATTTAGCGGTGGCATTCACCTGGATAAAAATTACACCAAGAGTAAGCATGACGAGCGCAATCCACTGGGCTAGTGAAATTTTCTTTTTCATGATAAGCTTCATAAAGAAGGCCGTGGTTAAAATTTTTAGTTGATAAGTAATCTGGTAAGTTGCAGCATCCAGATGGGACAATGATACAAAGAGAAGGTTGGTCTGTAAAGTGTACAAACCAGCAGGAATGATGAGGAGCAAAGAATCACGGTATTCATGAAACCCCTCTCTTAATATGCATTTAAATCCAGAAACAGGGCCTAATGAAAGGAGAGAAATTTTAAAATTTATAAGACACCCAACAAGTGTAGAGAACTTCATTTATGAATGGCTCTGCAAAATTGATAATTATCAATGAAGATAATGGATCAAGAGTCAATTGTTGTAGAGATAACTCCAAAATGAACCAAGGTAAAACGTAATTATATTTTCTTTAACTTTCGCTTTAATCATCAGCTTAGGGGTGAATTTCTGGCGGTGTGACAGTGACGGTGGGATCTAGTGGTATGATGGTGAAGTCATATTTTATAACAAAGTATATTTAAACTGGTCAGTAAGTTGATTTTATTAGGCAAGAAAATTACCTGCACCGATTGAATTATTCGTAAAAGCTAATGCCGTCAGAAATAGGCATTAGAGCTGTTTTAATGAAAAACAGGAGAAGAATTTTCCCACAATCATATGAAATGGCCTCATTTTTCCATTAGAGTTCGCATAGCCTTGTATCCCAAAAACTACTCTCATCCAGGAAGGAGTGGATATAGATCTTATCAGCACCTCCAATGTGACTCGAACTAGAATAGCGCAAAATATAGCGTCGACACGTTAGCCACAACGCCATACTTTCACGAGTTCCCTTGGGCCACAGGACAGAAGTGTAC